GAAGGAACACCCACGGTTCCCCGAGCCGGCTGGAGTGGGGGTGGGGGGTCTGTGGCAAAGCCCGTGTGTTACCTGATTCCCTACAACTTTGCTTTTCAAGAATGGAGAGAAATGGAAAAGTTCCTCTTCAGCGTTATTTAACGTTCTATGCCTGCTGCCGCCGGGAAAGTTGTTGCTGAGTACAACCACTCCTCCAGTGGGCATGCCCGGAATTCATGGGAAATCTGCTTTCAAGCCCTTCTTATCGCTTGGGACCAGATGCTCTCAGGTGGCCAGAAACCTTTGTCTACACCCACTTAGCAGATTTTCAGGCTCTTCATCAGGGACTAAGGGGTTTATTTGCAGAAATGAATCACTTCCTTCAAAAGATCCTTTACCCTATTTACATGCTTGCATATTCCTTCCATTTTGTTTCCCCCCTACAGCTTTACTAAGGGAATTAATTATCTCGAAGAACAGGAACATACAGTAAGTACATCTGAGATACAGGATGAGACACAGTATGTCATCTATTAGGCCTGGCTAAGACCAGCAGCTGATGCTAAATGGGAAGGAACACGCACCAAATGTTTTTTAATCACAAAGTTAGTAATTAATTGCTCTTTAAAATACATTTTATGCTTCTTTCTGTCTGTGTACATGAAATGCACATTTATGACATGCCAAAAATTACAGCATTATGGTTTAAATGTGACTGGCACGGAAGTCCGGAAATCAGAGTTAATGTTCCCACAGCAACTTTAATTCTGTCCGTGTGCACATGGAGAGCTCTAATAGTCTTCCGTTCCAGGATAATACGTGTCGATGGTTTGGGGAGGGAAGCTGAAGGCCCATATCCTCAACTGTAGTTACAGGAAGGAAACGCAGGCGGAGAGCCGCGCGCCTCTGCACACACGTGGAGAGGAGCCGCGTCCGCGCCCCGGGGTTGTGTAGCCAGGGCATGAGAGAGTCAGCTGCGCTGCACTCACTCGAGGGGACAGTTTCTGTTGCTGTGGGAACCTGAACTTTGCATTTCCTGACTTGAGGGTAATTAAAATGTCAGGCTTAATGCGGCATTAATGGAGTTTGCCATAAAAAATCCTTTGTTTTGTTCTCAAGAAAGAAAAAAAAATTGCTTAAAAGTTCCAAATGCGCCAAGTGTACTAAAAATTTTTAATCACAGAGACTTGGACGGGTTGAAGCAAAGGGCTGGGTGGTGGGGAGGGGAGGCGGGGGGAGGTAGATGGTAGGGGTGAGAGAGGGAAGGGCCCCCGGCCTCCTCGAGGGTGCTCAGCCCCAGCAGAGTCATACTACCTACAGAGCTAAAGTTAAAGCCACCCACACAACAGTTTGGTAATGTGTAAAGGTTAAATTAAAAATAAATAAAAACTGTGAATGCGTAAGTGCATCTTGGCAAAGACACCGAAAAGCGAGACAGTCTGATGAGGCCGGTGCAAAACACGGGAAGGTAAGTAACCAAGGATTGTCAGCTGCCAACAGAAGGAAGATGCCGGGATACGGGTCCCTATGGCCAGAGGTTGTGTGTGTGTGTGTGTGTGGGGGTGGTGGCCACTTCTCCCCTCACCTGGCAAGACCACCATGCACTGGGGGAACACAAAATGGCAGAAATATGCAAGCCAGAGTTCTGGTCTTGTCCACCACTTGTGGCGTGGACGTGCTCTAGCTGGCTGGGTAGCTGTCAAGAAGGATCCTTCCTATGGAGAGCGGCGGCCAATCTACCCATGTGTTTTAGTCCTCCGAGCATGAGGCCAGCTACTCTGTCACTAACACCCAGGGCTTCTGTATCCTTGCTGTGCCTTCCAAAACTCGCCTTCCTGCCTTCCATGACCATTATCTGAGTGTGTTTACCATCCGATTTTTAGGACTGGCGAAGAGGTGGCAAGCGTGGAAGTGATGGGGGAGTTCTGCTCAAGGGAGATTCTGTGAGTGGTGCACAGCAGAGCAGCACACATTTCAGCAGCAGTATTAACCTCATCATCTCACAAATGAAGGCGCTTCTTGACGATATTCTTTCTCATCTCAAATGTCACTGGAATCTTTTGTCAAATTTGAAGTGGCTCAGCAGGTTAAATAGCCAACTGAGAGTTTGAGGGGTCAGATTTGTCACCTTTGCTCTAAAGCTGGCAGGTATCTATCTGTCTTGTGCTAACACGCCCCTAACCAGGCTCCACCTTGTTGACTGGAGCACACGCAGTGATCCCATTCGTGACTGGAGCACACGCAGAGTGATCCCATTCGTGCAGAGAGGTCAGTGCTCCGCAGGGTTCGCACCAGCCCTTTCTGGTGAGTTGCCTCTGGATGGGTTCAAACTGGCCACCTCCAGTTAGTCGTGCTTCACCTTTGATGGCAACCAGGGACTCCCTACCTGGTCTTAATAAGACCGGCTCAGAATTGATTTTTCCTTTGCGTGGTTACTTTATCCATCGTGGTCACCATGTTCAAGATGATGGTTAAGTCAGGGCTGCTATCTGTGGGCTTGGAATGGAGGGTTCCGGAGGCCCACAAAGAGAGCAAATGGAAAACATCCCTCAGGACCCACGTGAGCTAACCGTGTGCAAGTCATTTCATCCACCCGGCTATCAATTTTCTCAGTTTTCGCATCTGTAAACTGGGAAGAATCATAGTGACTGAGGGGATATGGGCATGAAGGCAACTACTAAGAATACTTCTGCTGAACACACGACAAAGAAAAAGGTGCTATGAAAATTCAGGCACTTGTGAAAGCTTACAACACCACACACTGGTGAAATGTTTCTGAAGTTAAAGAGACTAACAAGTCAAGGATACTATTTTTAAATGCCCCAAATCTGTTCGTTCTAAATAGCAATGGAATATTTTACCTTCAAGAAATCAGGCTTTTAAATTAATCTATGATAAGAATGACATTTGAAAGCCAAGTAACAATAAAATAAAATAAAACCTCTTGAATGCAAGAAGAGCATCCAAATTTTTTAGCAGCTTAAAATAAAATGCTTTTTTGTCTTTTCGCAGGCAATCTCCAAATGGACAGATTTCTGTGAATCTTTCCTGAAAGACAAGTTTCTTCTGAGTGTGGGCTCAAATCAGGACACACTACAATCCAGATTCATTTGGAGGGAAGTACAATCAATTTAACAACAGGTTGGAGCAGAGAAGACTTACATATCTTATTGGCAAACCGAATGACTTTCGAAACAGCTGGAGACGGGGTGGGACTTCCCCTCCCCGTTTGGTTTCTTCTCCTTCCAACCTGCTCAGGGTCAGTGCAGAAGTGCACCGGGGTGCCGTTCTTTGTGCATAGTTCACGCTCACTCTAGGCCTGTCCAGTGGGTGCTTACGGTAAAGTACAACCAATCGGCCTGGTGGTTTTCTTTTTTTTATGCTGAGACATGCATTTGGCTTTAATGGGGGATTTTTGGGTTAGGGCCATTCTATGTAATCTTTCCCATAAGGTGTGGCAGACAGCCAGGCAATGAAGGGCTGCGGGCTGCAGCTCTAGGCCGCTCTCCTCCGGAACAGGCTACTTTCCTGGTAGGTAGGGACAGGGCACACATCTGTGGGCAGAGTGCCACACAATTGTCCAACTCTTCCTGTAATTACTATTGGGCTGGAAACTGCCAAGTAAGAAGGTTCACGTCTGTGATAGGGTAGTCCAGAGAATCTAGTTCTCAGACCCGCAGGTGTCTCTACAGAAATGGTGGCTGTCTTTAGAAGTCACGTGGGCCACAGAGGGCCAGATCCGTGTTCCTTTTCTAGCGACAGCTAGAATTTGGTCTCAGCCCTGTCATGAGTGGGGCCAGCCCCTCTCACCCTACCCTCTGCCCCTTCTCTGAGCGTCTGCTCTGACAAAGCAAGGAGGAAGCAGAGTCTCCTAGACCCTCCCCCTCACACCCTCCTTGTGGAGTTTTACATTTGTCTGTCAGAAAGCAAACCAACCAATAAGAGATTTAGAGTCATACTGCCTAATTTATATATACATATATGTATATATATTTTTCCCTTTGGGTCTTCATGAGTAAGATAAATGGGGTCCCTTTTGGAAGATCAACCTTTCTGGGCCTAGCTTGCTCATTCTAAAGAAGAATGTGTTCTCTGCCTGCTAGGGGACATCCTTTATGGAGATCAATGCAGAATAGACTTAAAAGGTATATCCTTGAGATTGTACCACAAAGTTAGTCCATTCCTCCCAGTGTCAACACACGTGTTTCTCTCTGAAGTACTGGGTTGTATTTCAAGAAAAAAGAAGAAGAAAAAATCTCCTAAATGTGATTTATCAACTTTCTTTAAATAGAATTTGAAGAAGTGACTCCCCGATCATTGGTCAGACGGCAACATAAACAGCAAGGAGGTGATTTCAATAGCACAATCTCATTAAGCTGCCCATTTCCAAATTTAGCCCTCTGGCAGTTTTTTTAATTAAGAAATATTTTTAACCTGAATTCTTATTGGCTACGTGAAGTCTGGGTGGCTTCTAAATTCTTGGAAGCCATTCTTTTTTCTTTTGTAAATTTATGCTCTCCTTTAACCACATCAAAGTAAATTAAAAGCTGGAAAGACAGAAATTCAGCCAAGCGACATGAGACTCCAATCACTAATGCAAATCTGACTTGTGTTATGCAATTTCAAAATGGAAGTGTCCTTGTGTCTAACTGGGCTTTTGAGGTCCACATTTGGTTGTTCAATTTTGTAAGGGTGGAAAGACTGTTTTTCAGATCATGAGGACAAAAGAATAATTAAGAAGCAGCCACACAGCTTCCTTTTCTTCTTTTTCCTGGGCTAATGTGATGAAAGAAAATGTGGTTTGCGGAATTAATCAGCCTTTTGAGGCCAAACGCTGGTCACCTGGCTTTAAAAAATACCACTCCTAGCTTTGAAACCGTGATGTTGGCTGGATCAGCATGGTGGCAAAGCTAGAAGACGAAAAGGCAGTAACAGTAAGGTGCTCTGTACGCAGAAAAGCCAGGGCCAGGCCTGCTCCAAGCACTGTGAAGTCAGTCACCATCACCTTCCCGGCTACTCACAATCAGATGACCCGGTGTGAGCGTGAGGGTTTGTCAGTGAATGTGTTGCGTGGATGAGCGCTGGGTCTGGAGACAGAACTGCTTCAAAGTTCAGGCAGGGAAGGCCCGGCTTGGCGCTGGATCCACCCGGCTGAGTAATCTCATTCTCCTCAGATGCCTTCTGGTTTTCAGCTGTCTTGGGTTTCTTCCTGAAAATAAACAAAGGGCCCTTTGAAGGAACTGACTGCATATTTGGGAAAAGGCATTTTTAGAATCTGTTAAAGATAACTTGATTTTTTTCCTGGGGGGTGGGGGGTGGTGGTGGGAGGGAGTCCAGTCTGTCCCTTGTTTTAAAACAAGCTGATTCTTGTTTTTCCCCCCCTCCAGTAATGGCCTAACTGGGAACACATGAAAGCATATGGGCCGAGCAAACAGCACCACATTTGGACTCTGTTGGCTGCATAAAAAGACCCTGTCCCAGAACTTTAGACAGCTTGAGCTACGTATGGCTGACATTATCCAAGAAAGCATCCTCCCCACCCCACCCCCACCCCCCTTTCAGGAGTTTTAACATGGTCTGGAAAAATACTAGTGGCGGTTTACCGTTCTAGCATTTGTCTGGAAGCTTAGAGACAGGACCCGTGGAGTAATGGGAGGAGCACTGGACTGGGAGTCAGGAGACTTGAGCTATGGTACTAGCTGTGCCTCTAACTTGCTGTGTGGCCTTGGGCACCTCACTTCACCTCTCTGGGCTTCAGTTTCCTCATCTGTAAAATAAAGGGCTTGGATTAGAAGGCCCTAAAGGTTCCTTCCAGCTTTAAGTTTCTGTTCAAGGAACAAATTACAGAACATTCAACCATCTTGCTGTTAATTAGATTTCATTTTAAATCAACATTTTATTTCAAAGCAAAATCTAAGCAGGCTGGCCCTTGTTTAACATAGCAAGGGAAAACTGATCCGAAGAGCTCAGGTTCTGTCACCCAGGGCACCGCTCCTCAGCCAACACTGTAAGGCAGGACTTTTACCTTCTGCTGACTAACAATTACCAGGAGAGGCAAAGGCTTTCCATAGGAGCAAAGTTTAATGGGGGAGGAGCCTGCAGGCAGAACACGAAGCATGGTCTATGCATGGTTTATCCCCCATCTCCTGAACAAACAGGTTGCTAGGGTTTTTTTTTTCTTAAGGTTTTCAGGTGGGAAGGGATACTATGTTTATTTATTAGGTAGGTACAGATTCCCAGGAAAATAGCCCGTTGAGACACCGCCACGTTAATTAGTTAATTAGGAGTGCATGCAAGATGGATTCCATCACAAGGGCTTCTGATGTGGGTGACCAAACTCATTCTAGGACGTCACACATAGTAGGGTCAGGTTATTGGCTCACACCCCTGAAGGTCATGATGGTGGGGTGGTGGTCTCTGCAAATGCTGGGATTATTGGATCTTGCAGCCATTTTAACAGTGTATATCACAAATTCCTGCTTATCTGGTTGAACTGGTGCAAGGAGGTGGGCTAGGTTTTCCAAAAGTGGTGGTGTGTGTGTGTGTGGAGGGGGGACCTAGGTTTGGTTAGCCCTGCTAACCTGTCTCATTGTTAAATTCTCCCAATGTGGAAACAAAGAGTGTTTTGACCTTGTCTGTTTTCTGAATATAACATGATTAAATTTTAGGATCTTTGGGCCACCTCTTTCAATTAAACCAAAGAGAAAACTGGATCAATTGGTAATGATTATGTATCTCCTTTTCATATGATTGAATTATCGAATTGTGTGATAGGGGAATTATATGTCAACTGAACTGTTAAGAAACAAAACAAAAGCAAAGAGCTGGATCAGGGTTGCAAGGAACGGTTGACCTGTTGACCAGTCCTGGTAACCTGTCCCAACAGCAAGTAGGTAAGAGGGAAGGTATCACACAGAAGCCTCCTGCTCTAACCTTTTACTCATCATAAGCTTGATTCCCTTTGCAATTTGATTTGGTACACAATCTCGGAGTTGAGGAGGATGAGTTTTTATTTGGGAAAATGAGAAAGAGATGAGTGGAGGGAACTAGCTAGTAACTGCTATTAACTGTTATTTGGGTCCCGGAATTGAAAGTTGAAGAGGTCGGCTATTGGCCCACGCAGGTCTCTCCCGCTGAGGGCCACTAAAGTCATACATCCTTTGCTTTTACCACCTGTACCCTAGACCCCAGCCAAACTAGATTGTGAGTCTTTCTGTGAACGTTCCCCACATTTCCATGGCTTGGTTCCTCTTTTTTAAATCATGATGTGACCTGGGAAAACATTTTCCCCTCCTCTTTTTGTAGCTCATGTGTGGTACAGAATTTGTTGTAAGTAGAATTGTTTCCATGCTTCCTCGTTTCTGTGGGCATGGCAATGGACTTGTTATCCAGAATATTTTGTATTGAAATGTGTTGTACTGGGTAGTTAAATCTGCCCTCGCAGAATATGGTGTTGTGATTAGCATGCTGTGTTTCTGGTCCAACAGGTTGTGAAATCAAATCTGTTTCTTTAAAGGGTGGGAGGGAGGCAGAGATGGAGTGGTAAAGGGGTTGGGGGGAGGTGTGAGTTTTCAGCGTGGAGGGGGCTACGATAGGAGAAGCAGCGTTTGCAGTGAGGTACCCACCTGTGGAGTGGCTGAGGATGGGACCCACAATTAAAGCCCCGAAGGAACGGGTCAATTTCGGTTTTCAATACAATACCGAGACCAACATACCCAATGTTCAACCCATCTCATCCATGAGAAACAATGCCTCCTCCAACATCCCAATTTCTGCTAATGTTGCCCCAGGGGACAAGGCTGCACATTATATGGCCGGGCTATTGTGCAGCTTTCTCGACTTTAAAGTCAGTGCGTCCACAAATTCTGAGAAGTCTGCTTCCTTCATGTTGCCCACATGGTTCCTTTCCATTTTCATTGCCCCTGCACACGTTCCATCCAGACTGCCGTGGCCTATGAGCCCGCGGGTCATCTTCTTTTATCCTCCCATCCCCTGCCTTTCTGCACGCACGCACGCAAGGCCACGCCCCTCTCTGCTCTAGTTTACCTCACGCGTGGGGCCTCCAAGTTGGGTGTACTGGATGCCTACATTTCTCGAATATTTCCACACATTCTAGAAATCTACATCCTTGACCCAATGCCTTTGCTCAAGTTATTCCTTTTTTTGCGTAGAACACCCTTTCTTCATCTCAGCCTGTTGAAATCACAGGTATTCTTAGACTTCTTAAAATAATGTCTTCATCTTATTGATATCTCAAGCCCGTTGTATCAGACAGGACTTCTTGCTCCTGTACTTTCTCTTTCTCTTGGAAGTCCCACTCCACTTGCTGTCCTAAAAATGTGTGTGTGTGTGTGTGTGTGTGTGTGTGTGTGTGGTTTATTCATCTTGAATTTTCATTTCAACGATGGCATGTTGTGTGCCGTGTATCCCTCCTAGGAGGCTTTCAGCTCTCCGAGGGGAAGGGAAGGGAATGTCTTCAGGCTGTGAGTGTTCCTCCCACTGTTCCTTTGTTCATTGACTCATTTCAAAACGATTTAGTGTATGCCTAGGCAGGCCAGCAGGGGTTAGGGAACCAAACAAGCATGGTTCCTGCCCTTCCAGAGTTTATCGTCTAGTCTCTTATGCAAAGTAGCAAGGCAAAGCTGTCACTCAACATGTGCGCACTGACGCAATGAAAAGGAACTGAAATTAAAGTGTACTGTGAGAGTAGGCAGAGTCTGGACCCCCGTTACGTTTCCTTCTCATTATGCGGCAGTGAGCTTGACCTTGAGTGGTTGTTACCATCTGAATCCATGAAGGGCATTTGATCACGAGTAGGACAATTTTGCTCACTAAAGTTAGGCTTGTGACTTAGGATTCATTCAAATAGAGACACTCAATCCTACAGACAGATAGAATTTCATAAGGGGGGAAAACACACTCGGATGCTTCTCTAAGAGGGCTGGCCTCATTTCTAAGCGGGTTTCAGGAAATTAGGAAACCCTTTTACATAAATGGGTAACTATCCCAACAAGCCAATGTTAGGATTTTGTTTCGAACAACACCGGAATTGTATTGCTCTTCAATAAGTGACTTCCCTAGATTTGAACTTGCTGCGCCCAGGACACGTTATACCCCCCTCCTCCCATGTGTGGGATCCGAGGTCACTCTTGGGAAGCACTAAGTAAAGGTCTTGGGGCTTCCTGTCTGCAAACAGCAGACTCTGAAAGCTCCAGCGTGTTCTGGCTCTTCCCCGGCCTCCTCCAGCTTTGCACAGCCTCTGCTTTTCCTCCCGCAAGAGGCTGCTTCCGAGCTTCCCGGGCAGGCAGCAGCCAGGCCCTGTCCTCAGAATCCATCCACTGCCCCCAGCTCACCTGCCAGGAGTTCTTCCGGTCTCCGTTTCCTGGCGCTGAGAAACAGGGAGCCATCGGAAGGGGGCCTCACCAAGTTTAGTAAAGTCCCCTCAATGGCTACAAAAACACAGGGGAGTCATCATTTGGGCCCCATTTTTACAAGTGCATAGTTTCTTAAGGAGTAAAGAGCCAACCTTAGGGGGACAAAAGGGACCTCGGCTGTTTGAGTGCCTCACCGGAATTCCGTAAACATGGCTCCTGTGAGGCCCGGTCTCACCGCGCCCCTCTGACGGCGCAGTATTCCCGGGAGCCCTTAGAGGGCAGCAGCACACTGGGTGGCTCCCCACCAGAACCTTCCTGTGGTCATCATGCCAAAGGTTGGTTTGCCAAGCGCTGGCCTCTCCGCCTCTCTCTTTCTTTTTAGCTTTCTCTCAATCTCTCCTCTCCTTCTCTCCCTCCCTCCCTCCTCCTCCTCCTCCTCCTCCTCCTCCTCCTCCTCCTCCTCCTCCTCCTCCTCCTCCTCCTCTCTCTCCCCCTTGCCTTTTCTCCGAGTGTTAAAATTATACACTCCGATGAAGTCTCTCAACTGGAAAATGCAAGCTCCAGTGAAAAAGTTAAACACGCCAACAACAACAACAAAGAAAGAAAGCAGGGGAAAGGGGAAAGGGGGCTGGGGAGCGGGGAGGATTTAGGAACAAGAAAAGGGCAGATGTTTCGTAAATATATGCAAAGCAAAACTGGGTGTACCCTGAACACTTCCACAGAGAAACAGACCAATCATTGTGCACTTCCTCCCGCCACGCTGGGGGGGGCTCTGCATTCAAAAATTAAAAAAAAAATTTTTTTAAAGTGTGACCACAGACACCTGCCTTTCAACGGTCAGTTCTAACATTCGGACTGAATCTCTCCCAATTGCCCAGAGAGAACAAAAACATTTTCATCTTCCCACTGCAGCCATGTCGGTCAGCAGAGAAAAGCTGCTTGGAGAGCTGGGAAGGCCTTTTGAGGTGACGGGCAGCCCAGTCAGCCAGCAGGGCCTGCTGGCTGTGAACTCTCATTGTGCTAGCCCTGGCAACAAGTTTGGGCTGAAACAGCCGTGAAGACGGCTGCGGATGACGCTGGCTCTTTCCTAACGAGACCATATTGTAAGTGGAAAGAAAGATGCATTAAAGCATATTGAGGAGATGGTAGGTATTAAGTATGTTCAATGCATGGAAATGAACCAGATCGGTGGCATTTGATGTATATATTTCACACGCCTATGCACACACTGCTCACATGTCGTGATGGCAGTGCTTTCTGCAACATATGGAAAATAAATATTTTATCTGTGTGAGCTCTTTCCAGTCTCCAGGGTCTGCTGGGAGGAGAGTGCTCTTTTCTCTCCTTCTCCCAATTCTCTCTCTACTGGGCTCCCACCCTCTCCTGTACAGTA